GCAAATTTTCATGTTTTATATTAAAAATGATATTTTACATATTTTTACTAAAAACATCGCCATTAGCTTTATCATATATCAGAAAATTTCATTTCTTCTTTGCTGATCATTCCATTTATGGTGATGAAGTTGATGGTTATGTAGAGTAATTCCTGCATGGAAGAGTCTATGGCATTGACTGCATGGTAATGTTGGTGAAGGACAAGTTTTTTTTTCTCAAGTCTTTCTCCCTTGTTATTTGACTACTTCCTTTTCTCTTTTGGTGGCTTCAAAGTTTTGGGTTTCAAAGATGAAGGAATACCATCAGTTGGTACGGTTCCAGGCTTGTATTTCAAATGATTTAGGTTCAAGTTCAGTGGCTTTTAGTGTTGAGTTGGTCCTTGTATCTTTGAAGAAAGCAACCTCTGAAGTGAAACAACATGGAAACCTTGACTCTTCCATTCTTGCTACATGTCTAAAGACTGTATTTTATGAACAGCTCTTGGATACTTTGACTGTTAGCTCTTTTCAGGACTGGTGTTAGTCACATAGTATTCCCATTTGATGTTCAAAGCTTTTGCTGGTGAAAGCATTTTAATTTCATGATGGTTGCTCCTTGTCATAGTGGAGAGGTTTGCATGATCAGAGAGCAATGATGTCAGGAGTTCTAAATTCCTGGTAGGACCACTCTTAGGGATGAAGACAAGGATCCAGACTAAGCACCACCAACCCTCAAAGACCCCAATGGTGTAACTAAAAACATAATCGCATATCAACAGAGATAAGTGAGAAAATCGATTACTGTAGAAATTAAAAAGGAAATAAATTTTTAACATGAAAATAGAAGAAGTATTAACAAATTTAGTGCAGGGTGTGGAATGGTGAAATTAACAATCTGTGCCATTTTTAAGAACAAGGATGAATTAGTATTTAGATGGCTAGTGAAATAACCAAACTTTGTAAATCATGTAATTTTATTGTAGCAATTTTATTGCATGCATTAATTTCAACTCTTCTTTACTTTTGATGGGGATTAAATAAAAGAAATTACCAATGATAAAGTTGGGCATAAATTTATACAAAGGCCAAAAACAGTTTTCTGATGGCCTAAGACCTAATGCTCCCAGTAGAAATTATATGACAATGTCAGATTTTCTTGATTCAATATATTTCTGTATTTATTTATTTGTTCTTTATTTAAATATAGATTTATGTATTTCTGATTTAATTTTTTTTTTTTATGTAGACTTTAGGTGTGGATTGTGCAGATTACTCATACTTAAATGTATTTTACTGATGTGTAGATATTGTAACAGGCAAACAGAATTGGCAATCAGAGTTCAAATCCCAGGCCAGTCTGTTGTATTCATTCTAACACTCTGACCTTGGGAAAAACCCAAGGATCCATCTCTTCTCCTTACACCCAGCTATTAAATAGCAGGATAGACTGGGTTGTCTAGCTATGGGTGGCAACCAATGAAAGAGAAGGAAAATTATCAATTCAAATTTCTTGAGAAGGCAACAGGAAATCACTCCACTATATTTCCCAGGAATGCATCATAATTCTTAGTTAATAACGAAAAGGAATAAAAAAATAATGACTGGAGCAGTTAAATAATGTGTGGACTGGCCTCAAATGGTAAACTACTGGTCAGAACTCTGACAATCCAAAATGAGTTGGGCTGGTTTGAACAATATAGGTGTGAAATTCTGACAATGCTGGATTAATTTTGTTTAAATTTTAGTATAAAACCAAAAACATATGAAAGTAATCAGTATAGCTGCAAGGATAGAAGGATCAAGATGTGTCACTTTATCCAGATTTCTTAGTAAGACAACCCTGCATGTGGTGATGAGAAGTTGGTCAACTGGCTCACATCTCTCCTCTCTATCCCCATCTCCCAAAAAACAATGCCACTGCTACTTTCCCTCAGGAAATAAATCAAGTAAAGAGAAAATTGCCTGTCATTGATTCAGTCTGTGATGTAGAATTAAGGCCTGAAGAATTAAACCCAGAGATGACACACAACAAAATCCCCCAGCATCCTATATGTGAAACTGAGGCTTTTTCTGTAAATTATTATATTTGTAGTTTACAGAAACAATGCCCCAGTTTCACATATACATTACAGAAAGATTTTGTTGTGTGTTGTCTCTGGTATTAAGTCAGAATGCATGGTTGTCAGCAAAAGGAAAAGCTCAACATGCAAATTATAATTTGGAGATACCTACGTCAAACAAGTAATAAATATCTAAATGTTTTAACAGAGGAGAGAAAGTGCAGCACTGAAATGTGAAAGTGCATTAAGATAGCCAAAGATGCTTTCCAAAAACTAAGCAGAGTATTAAGAAACAGCAAAATTTTATTAGAACAATGAAAAGAGTACTGAACTATTGAATTAAAATCGGTCCTTCTGAACTGTTATATAATATTAGCCATCCTATATAGCACTGAATACTGGTCAGTCACCTCACTTGAAGAAGAGACTTGGTTTGATTTATTTTCTTTTATGACATATCAACTTCAATTGGTCATTTAATACACTATTTACATTGTTCAGACTCTTGTCCTCGTCTTTGTTGCTATATTTATCGCAACATTTTGCCTATTGTACACTCTGGCCTTCTTCAGGTGGTTGGAATGTCGAACTGAACTCTTTATTTCGCTCACTGGGGTAGACTGTTCTAGTTCCATGTGCCATGTCTAATGGATGTCAGTTATCTCCTGTTAATTCCCTCTTCAAGTTCTCTACTTCCTTAACCATGGCACAATAGATAAAGGCATTGGTTAGATCCAGTGACAGGACCCAAAGAGTTGTGAGTTCAATGCCTGGTTAAGGTAGTGGAGAACTTGGAGAGGGAATTAACAGGAGATAACTGATAACTGACATCCATTAGACATGGCACATGGAACTAGAACAGTCTACTCCAGCGAGTGAAATAAAGGGTTCAGTTCGACATTTCAACCACCTGAAGAAGGCTGGAGTGTATAAGTTTGTATGAATAGAATATATATTCTTTGCAAGAAATCAGTTTGTAGGAGATCAGGTTTCATTGATATATTTTTGTAAAGAAGGTTTTTGTTGAAATTCAAATGTATTGCTGGTAACTTCACTATAAAAATCCATTTTTAAACTTTCATAATGTTTTGACCCTAGTTTGAGATTTAACTATTTGCCCGTAGCTGGGACTGTAACAGGTGCTATCATCCCGGGTCAGGGTAAACTTTGAAACAACAGAAATTAAGAGGTCATTCTATGTTCCTCAAAACCTCCTGACCAGAGGCGTTAGTTTATCGTCATACCCAGGATGAAGAAGAGACTTGAAGCCTCAGAAATATGGTTCTACAGAAGAATGCTAAGAATATCATGGATTGGACATTTGAGCAACAAGGAAGTTTTCAGGAAAATGGAAGCTAAAAGCATGCTTATACTTAGTATTAGAAAGAGATAATTGAAATTTCTAGGGAAAGAGGAAAGAGGGCTTGGAAAATTTAATACTCACAAGATACATTGAAGTCAAGAGGGACAGAGGAAAATAACTCATAACCTTGCTAACGAGTTTGAGTAAATTGATAGTGGAACAATGTTTTGGAGAGATAACAAAAAGACAATTTATTAAGAGCTACAAGGAGCAATGGAGAGCCATGATCACTAATGTCCTGAATAGCAATGGTGCATAAAAGAAGTATACAAAGGTGGGTTGAAAAGTTAATAGGCTGATTAGGAAGGAGTGATGCTAGAGCTGTGAAATCTTGCATGCATTAATTTTAACTCTTCCTATGAATAACTGCACTGTTACTTTCCAGATAAAATGACATCTGTTCAAAGACAACTGTTCATCATATTGAGGGGGGGGGAAATCATCAACAGTAAAGTGTTTTTGATGTTGGGGAACAGATCATAGTCAAATCAGGAAAATAGGGAGGGTGATCAACCAGTTCAAAGGCACAGTCATGCACAAGGACTTGTATGCTGGAGCATTGTCCTGATGAAACAAGAGCTCTTTTGTAAGTTTTCCTGGGCATTTCGGCTTGATAGCTTCCTGTAACTGCCTCAGCATGTTACATAGTATTCTTTATTGATGGTGTAGCCCTTTTGAATATAGTCAATAAACACAATGCCTTTTGCATCCCCAAAAACTGAGACCATCACCTTCAATGTAGTGACCTTGGTTTTCTTTGGAACAGGTAAGGAGAGATATTTCCACTGCATGGATTGTCTCTGGCTCAAAGTGATTAACCCAATACTCATTATGGATTAAGAAACATTCAAGGAAATCATCTGGATCTGTCTTGAACAATGTCAGATTTTCTTGCTATGTGATCAGCTGGTATGCTTTTGATCAGTTGTCTGATGTAGCACCAACCAAAGCAGAAACCTTCATTGTGTCAAGTTCAATATGCAGAATATTCTTAACTTTTTCATGAAATAAGCTAATAGCATTGGCTATTTGATTTATAGTGAAGCACCCATCATCCATCACAATGTGGTAAGCATGATCAATGTTTTCCTCAATAGTGGCAGTTGCAAGACGTTCTGACATATGGTCATCTTCAACATTCTCCCTCCTTCTTCTAGATTCAGCTACCCACTTTCGCACTATTGATAAAGTTGGAGCATCATATCCTAATGTAGCATCTATGTCAGTATGAATATCCTTGGGAGCTAAACCTTTTTTCTGTACAACAATGCCAGATTTTGTCAATTTTCAAGAGAAGTTACTGCTAGTTATATTTGAAAACATCTTTGAACAGTCAGATGTCCATTTACCTGGAAAGAAACAATGCAGTTATTAATAAGAATTGAAATTAATGCATGCAAGATTTCACAGCTCCATCATCACACCTTCATAGTCAGCTTATAAAGTTTTCTGCCCACCCTCGTATTTCTGCACTGGGGGCTAAAATTTTTTTGTTGCATATATTCTGTTCTATATATATATATATATATATATGCCAACAAATATACACAATTGTTTTAGAATGAAATATAATTTCTTTTATGGATCTTCTGCAGGTGATGGAGTATTCCTGTATGGAACTTGCACTAGAGGGTGAGCGCCTCTGTCGAGCTGGGGACTGTCATGCTGGTGTTCAATATTTTGAAGCTGCAGTTAAAGCAGGAACAGAAGACTTTGCCACATTGAGTGCCATTTACAGTCAGCTTGGCAACGCTTACTTCTACCTGCAGGAATATGGAAAAGCTCTTGAATTTCACAAACATGATCTCAATCTAGCAAGGTAAGTTTGTTGTTTTTTGTTTTTTTTGTTTTGCTTCTTTCTTTCTTTCTTTCTTTTTTTTTTTTTTTTTTTTTTTTTTTTTTTTTTTTCAGGGTTTTATGAAAACAGTATCATTGAATGATATAAATATTACTGTATTTCCTGCCATCAAAAAAGACACTATTTTTTTTTTACTCTCTTAAAATAAGTTTTTAAAAAATTTCTTTGAATCCTACAGTTGCAGTCTGTTTGAGTTCACGTTATTTTTTTTTTTTTTTTCTTAAAATAAGTTTTAAAAAAATTGCCTTGAATCCTTTAACTGAAGTCTATGGCTTGATTTCACATAATTTCCTTTTTTTTTTTTCCTTCAATATTTTGCAAGTCAAAAAAACTGGTGTGTTCTTGAGGCCAGAATGTTGTCAACACTGCAAAACAGTAAATTTTCAGAAAAATAATTGCTAATATAAAATGTCTGTGTTATCTTTTTTTTTATTTCTTTTGTTAATTATTTACTTTTTTTTAAATCAGACGTTGCTCAGTTTTACACATTTCTCCCCCACTAAATTGGTATTTGGTGCATTGAAAAGGGACCTCAAAATTAAAGTAGAAAAAGAATTATGTGTTTAGAATATTCATAATGCCTTTCTCTGGGGGAACTGGAAGGCATGAAAAGAAACATCGACTTGATTACATCCAGTTTGATAAGAAAATTGGCACTAACTTAGCACAGGGTGGGGGGTGTGAATGTGAGTACATATAAAAATATATCAGCTTGGTCCTTTGTCCATGGATATGTAAGAAAATAACCATTACTGTCCCTAACACACAAATAACTGTTACTGTCACTTGTGATCATGAGTACCATAACTCATTATGGTTGTACAGGCACCACATGTACTGCAGTAGCAGTGTTGTGTCTTGGGAAAGATAGTCTGACAGAGCTCAACTCTCTCCAAGCTGGTTTGAATTCACTTTTCCTTCTCTTAGACTGGTTGTCTTGCTCAATGGGAGGAGAAGTGAATTGATTCATACCTTTCCCAATGTTATTTGCATGTAAGTGAATGTAATGAATGTCACTGGAATTTGAACTCTGCACTCTGATTTCTTATTCTGAGTCACTATCCATTATGCCACATCATCGTCCACATTATTCTCCTTAATATGCAAATAAACCTTACCAAGACGAACAATGTTTTGCAACCAAATAAAAAAAGAAAAATAGTCAAAGAATTGTCAAAGAGAAGCACTGGAAATTTGTGTTAGCATCAAGCTGTGGGGGGAATTGTTAAATTTGCAAGTTGATGTATTAGCTGGGAGAAATAATTGTTGGTTCAGTTTGTTCTGAAGTCATATATTCATTACCATTAACAGAGAATTCAGCTCCATTCATTGGTAAATCAAAAAAGTGCTGACTAGCTTCACATTCTGGGATCTAAGAACTTTGCTGAACTGATCAGATAGTTTTCTTAACTATCTGATCACTTTCAATCTATAACATCAAGAATAAAAGTAATAACACTACTGCCAGACATATTAATAGGCAGAGGCAGTGATATTAATTGGTTGTAATTAGGTTTTATTTACTAGAGAATGAAATAAGAAATTTGATAGAGTAACCAAGATGTTATAAGTATATGATAAGTACATTAGTAGAAATGTACTTGTTGAATAACATGAAGGAATATTGCTTTAAGCATATCCCGCATCAAAGAGTTTTGAGTATTTATTGAAAAGTTAAGTTATTTAGTCTTCTATCTCACATCAGTTAAATGACTTAGTTCACAAATGTTCTGTGAATTAGACATTATTTGATTAGTTAGGGGTCATATTAACTAGCCATTTGAAAGACACGTGAAACCAAGCTTACTAGTGGAAAATAATTTTGTATGGTTTTTGAACAGTGAATAAACCATATTATTGGTCCTGACCTGGCATCTTGGTGTCAGTCACTTTCCCACCATCCTCATGTAGCCTCTTTGTGCCTTTTCTATAAATACTTTCATGGTAATTGTTATGAACTTTCTTCTATGGTTAAATATTCATTAGGGTTTCATTTTTAAAAGGTATGTTTTTCCCCACCTCCTCCACAACAAATTGTACATATGGGAACTGGTTAGGATTTCATAGAGACTATGAGGTATTATGGTGACTGTAGTGAGAATGTGTTGCTTCAGTTTAAGAAATAGTGTGGCATGTTTGGGTCAGTAATTGTGGCTAGCTTAGTTTAAGATAAGACAGATTGAAGATCAGCCTTCCCCTCCCCATTTTGATCATGTGCCATTACTTTCCTCTATGGTACCTCAATTATATGAATTTAAATGCAGTACTAGGTTGGTAGCAAGGTCTCAACATTTTATAGTTGAAATTGCAAGATGTAACTGAGTTCTATGCTAACAGTTTCTTCTCTTACACTTCTCGCTTGTGTAACTTTCTCCCAGCTTCTTGCTTCCCTGTCAACTCTGATCTTTAATAATTTAAACACAATATCAATCGTTATCTTCTGTCTTAATTCCCGTTTCTTTAGTGTTCTCTCTTCTTAATAGTTTCTTTTTCTCATATTCTATTACAGTCAGTATGCCTTTGTGTCTTAGTGGCTTTATTGCCTTGCCTGGGATAAAATAATAAAAAAAATAATTACATAGTACTCGATTAGAAGCCATGTCTCATCATTCTACTGTTTTCTCTCACATTTCTTGGCCTATAGAAATCTCTTCTAGCTTCTTTGTTTCCTTTTAACTATGATCTTAAAAAATTTAAATGCAACATCAATCATCAGCTTCTCTTCTTGTATCCTCTTGTTGGCTTATGACTATATCACAATGAAACACTGGTTCTTGCATGATTACTGAAGTTATGCAACATCAAGTCTGGTCAGTGTCCAGATAGGTGATCATTTGGGAATTTCAAGATGCAGTAGCTTGGATGTGAGGGTGGTGTAATAAAAAAAAAGCTTGGAACTGGAAATCACAGAGCCGAGTTTCAATTCTATTCAGGTTCATTATATTCATTTATGTGCAAATACCTTTGGAAAAGTTATGAATTTCCTTCTCCCCCAGCTATGGGCTAATTAGTAGAACTTGTCAGTAAATCATTATCTCCAAAACATTCATACAATCTAAAAATATTTTCTAGTTTTAAACTGGTAATGAATTCCAGTGACATAATTTTCTTTTTCTTTGTTTTTTAAATGTTGTATATGACTCTATGATAATCTGTCACTCATCACTAGCTTTTCTATCTAATAATTGTTGTGGATCCCACGTGAAAAATAGGTATCCAATAAATGACAAACGCAAGTATTTGAGCTAAGAAATTAAATGTATTTACACAAAATACAAAAGGTAATGCTGTTAGTAAAATCCAGGAACACAGTTAGTAGCAAATGCAGATAGATATATACAGTCTCGAAGTAGGACTTCCTTAGAGTCTACGTGCTTATAACTGACTTTTACAAGAGGTTACTTCACCCCATCCGACACTCACAGATGACTCCAGTACGACTCCCTCTCTCTGCCTGACTGTGGCTATTTTATGGCAGCAGGACGAGTCCATTATATCCGAAAAGGGTGGACCCCATAACAATAATACTATCAACAGTTTTGTTCCAGTGAACAAGGGTTTACAGCAAAATCACATTGAAAAATCAGATCTCATAGGATCATCAAAGTTGAGCAATATCATGCCTGGTCATTACCTAGATGGGTTACTGCCTGGGAATACCAGGTGGTGTAAGCTTGGATGTGTGGGTGATGTAATGTATAACGAATCGGAATTTATTCACTTACATACAAATACCTTTGGAAAAGATGAACCCACCTCTTCTCCCTCCAGCAATGGGTGAATTATTTGGACTTGTATCAGTAAATTTTTATTATCTCCAAAAGATTTTTACAATCTAAAAATATTTTCTGGCTTTAAATAACCTGAAAAACATTGATAAGTCTCTTCTTGACTTATGAGTAGATTGTCCATCGTTCCCTGGTATATCGGTGGATTGATATTACATAACACTTCAATACTCTTTGCTTGTTTCTGTCAAAATTTTCCTGTTTCTTCATACTTTGCTAAACTTTTGGAAGACATGTTTTGCTATCCCAATGAGCCTTCAGATATAACAGATACTTAGTTTTTTTTTTAATGTTGTATATGACTCTGTGATAATCTATGGATCATCAGCAGCTTTTCTGTATATTCATAGTATCGCTAACTTTGTTCCTGTGAACAAGGGGTTACATCAAAATCATGTTGAAGCACCAGTTTTCATATGATCACCAAAGTATGTGAGGCAATTTTAAGAGAATTAGAATTCCTACTAGAAGAAAGGAAAAGGAAAAAGTGGAGAAACTACCCCCCCTTCCATCGTTGGATAGTACGGGGAGAATATGAAGTTGGAGAGTGGGGGGATATGACATGTAGGAGAGAGGGAGAAAACTACGACACTACTGAAGAGAGAGTGGAAACTATAATGTTGTTGGGGAGATTGCAAACTATGACATTTGGAAGAGAGAAAGAAAGTTTTCTTGATTTTATGATAATTACTTTAAAGATCTGCAACCTGACAATTATAAGCTAAATTTTTATCTGATGTTTTTGCTGTATAATATTTGATGTATGTATGGAAGAACATTGACCCAAAAGGAAATTATATGGAAAAATAAATGTATATTGAGTAAAATAAATTTTTTGAAGGAATTGTTAGGTAAGCTTAGTATATTTGAGAAGGATATTAGAATAATCCAGAACTTATACTTGGAGGAAACCACCTGAATGCTAATAAAAAATGAATTCAGAAAATATACAAAAACAGAAAGGTGTGTAAGACAAGGATGGGTCTTCTCACCAGATTTATTCAACCTTTACATGAAGTGATTCTCAGAGAATTCCTACCAGGATTCATTAATGGTGACAACAAATTTAAATACATTAGATATGCAGATGATAGTGTTCACAGCAGACATAGAAAGGTAAATACATTAAGTCTTCCAGATGTAGCAAAGGAAAATGAGAAAAGATTATATTCACTTAATAATTTCAACTCTTTCTGATGTTAAGTACAAGTGTCTTATTTGATTCTGTTTTTTTTTTCTAAAATTTCATCTCTCTCTCACTCTCTAAAAGCATTATAGTTTCCTCTCTCTGCATTATAGTTTGCTGCCTCTCTCTCTCTGCATTATAGTTTGCTGCCTCTCTCTCTCTCTGCATTATAGTTTGCTGCCTCTCTCTCTCTCTCTCTGCATTATAGTTTGCGGCCTCTCTCTCTCTCTCTCTGCATTATAGTTTGCTGCCTCTCTCTCTCTCTGCATTATAGTTTGTTGCCTCTCTCTCTCTCTCTGCATTATAGTTTGCTGCCTTTCTCTCTCTCTGCATTATAGTTTGCTGCCTCTCTCTCTGCATTATAGTTTTGCCTCTCTCTCTCTCTCTCTGCATTATAGTTTGCTGCCTCTCTCTCTCTGCATTATAGTTTGCTGCCCTCTCTCTCTGCATTATAGTTTGCTGCCTCTCTCTCTCTGCATTATAGTTTTGCCTCTCTCTCTCTCTGCATTATAGTTTGCCTCTCTCTCTCTCTCTGCATTATAGTTTGCTGCCTCTCTCTCTCTGCATTATAGTTTGCTGCCTCTCTCTCTCTGCATTATAGTTTGCTGCCTCTCTCTCTCTCTGCATTATAGTTATAGCCTCTCTCTCTCTCTCTGCATTATAGTTTGCTGCCTCTCTCTCTCTCTGCATTATAGTTTGCTGCTCTCTCTCTCTGCATTATAGTTTTGCCTCTCTCTCTGCATTATAGTTTTGCTGCCTCTCTCTCTCTCTGCATTATAGTTTGCTGCCTTCTCTCTCTCTGCATTATAGTTTGCTCTCTCTCTCTGCATTATAGTTTTGCCTCTCTCTCTCTCTGCATTATAGTTTGCTGCCTCTCTCTCTCTGCATTATAGTTTGCTGCCTCTCTCTCTCTCTGCATTATAGTTTGCCTCTCTCTCTGCATTATAGTTTGCTGCTCTCTCTCTCTGCATTATAGTTTGCTGCCTCTCTCTCTCTCTGCATTATAGTTTGCTGCCTCTCTCTCTCTCTGCATTATAGTTTGCTGCCTTTCTCTCTCTCTGCATTATAGTTTGCTGCCCTCTCTCTCTCTGCATTATAGTTTGCTGCCCTCTCTCTCTCTGCATTATAGTTTGCTGCTCTCTCTCTAGTTTCTCTGCATTATAGTTTGCTGCCCTCTCTCTCTCTGCATTATAGTTTGCTGCCTCTCTCTCTCTCTCTGCATTATAGTTTGCTGCTCTCTCTCTCTCTGCATTATAGTTTGCTGCTCTCTCTCTCTCTGCATTATAGTTTTGGCTCTCTCTCTCTGCATGATAGTTTGCTGCCTCTCTCTCTGCATGATAGTTTGCTGCCTCTCTCTCTCTGCATGATAGTTTGCTGCCTCTCTCTCTCTCTGCATTATAGTTTGCTGCCTCTCTCTCTCTCTCTCTGCATTATAGTTTGCTGCCTCTCTCTCTCTCTCTGCATTATAGTTTGCTGCCTCTCTCTCTCTCTGCATTATAGTTTGCTGCCTCTCTCTCTCTCTGCATTATAGTTTGCTGCCTCTCTCTCTCTCTGCATTATAGTTTGCTGCCTCTCTCTCTCTCTGCATTATAGTTTGCTGCCTCTCTCTCTGCATTATAGTTTGCTGCCTCTCTCTCTCTGCATTATAGTTTGCTGCCTCTCTCTCTCTGCATTATAGTTTGCTGCCCCTCTCTCTCTCTGCATTATAGTTTGCTCCTCTCTCTCTAACCATTACAGTTTGCTCCCCTCTCTCTCTAACCATTACAGTTTGCTCCCTCTCTCTCTAACCATTACAGTTTGCTCCTCTCTAACCATTACAGTTTGCTCCCTCTCTCTCTAACCATTACAGTTTGCTCCCTCTCTCTCTAACCATTACAGTTTGCTCCCTCTCTCTCTAACCATTACAGTTTGCTCCCTCTCTCTCTAACCATTACAGTTTGCTCCCTCTCTCTCTAACCATTACAGTTTGCTCCCTCTCTCTCTAACCATTACAGTTTGCTCCCTCTCTCTCTAACCATTACAGTTTGCTCCCCCTCTCTCTCTAACCATTACAGTTTGCTCCTCTCTCTCTAACCATTACAGTTTGCTCCCTCTCTCTCTAACCATTACAGTTTGCTCCTCTCTCTAACCATTACAGTTTGCTCCCTCTCTCTCTAACCATTACAGTTTGCTCCCCTCTCTCTCTAACCATTACAGTTTGCTCCCTCTCTCTCTAACCATTACAGTTTGCTCCCCTCTCTCTAACCATTACAGTTTGCTCCTCTCTCTCTAACCATTACAGTTTGCTCCCTCTCTCTCTAACCATTACAGTTTGCTCCCTCTCTCTCTAACCATTAAACTTTGCTCCCTCTCTCTCTAACCATTAAACTTTGCTCCCTCTCTAACAATTAGTTTGCTGTCTCACTCTCTCTCTCTAATCATTAGTTTGCTTTCTCTCTCTCTAACCATTACAGTTTGCTTTCTCTCTCTCTAATCATTACAGTTTGCTTTCTCTCTCTCTAATCATTACAGTTTGCTTTCTCTCTCTCTCTAACCATTACAGTTTGCTTTCTCTCTCTCTAACCATTACAGTTTGCCCTCTCTCTAACCATTACAGTTTGCTTTCTCTCTCTCTAACCATTACAGTTTGCTTTCTCTCTCTCTAATCATTACAGTTTGCTTTCTCTCTCTCTAATCATTACAGTTTGCTTTCTCTCTCTCTAATCATTACAGTTTGCTTTCTCTCTCTCTAATCATTAGTTTGCTTTCTCTCTCTCTAATCATTACAGTTTGCTTTCTCTCTCTCTAATCATTACAGTTTGCTTTCTCTCTCTCTCTAATCATTACAGTTTGCTTTCTCTCTCTCTCTAACCATTACAGTTTGCTTTCTCTCTCTCTAACCATTACAGTTTGCTTTCTCTCTCTCTCTAACCATTACAGTTTGCTTTCTCTCTCTCTCTAACCATTACAGTTTGCTTTCTCTCTCTCTCTAACCATTACAGTTTGCTTTCTCTCTCTCTAACCATTACAGTTTGCTTTCTCTCTCTAACCATTACAGTTTGCTTTCTCTCTCTAACCATTACAGTTTGCTTTCTCTCTCTAACCATTACAGTTTGCTTTCTCTCTCTCTAACCATTACAGTTTGCTTTCTCTCTCTCTAACCATTACAGTTTGCTTTCTCTCTCTCTCTAACCATTACAGTTTGCTTTCTCTCTCTCTAACCATTACAGTTTGCTTTTCTCTCTCTCTAACCATTACAGTTTGCTTTCTCTCTAACCATTACAGTTTGCTTTTCTCTCTCTAACCATTACAGTTTGCTTTCTCTCTCTAACCATTACAGTTTGCTTTCTCTCTCTCTAATCATTACAGTTTGCTTTCTCTCTCTCTAACCATTACAGTTTGCTTTCTCTCTCTCTCTCTCTAATCATTACAGTTTGCTTTTCTCTCTCTCTCTCTCTCCATTGCAGTTTGCTTTTTCTCTCTCTCTCTCTCTCTCTAACCATTGCAGTTTGCTTTTTCTCTCTCTCTCTCTCTAACCATTTCAGTTTGCTTTTTCTCTCTCTTGCAGTTTGCTTTTTCTCTCTCTCTCTAACCATTGCAGTTAACTGTTTCTCTCTCAAACCATTGCAGTTGCTGTTTCTCTCTCTCTAACCATTGCAGTTGCTGTTTCTCTCTCTCTCTAACCATTGCAGTTGCTGTTTTCTCTCTCTAACCATTGCAGTTTGTTTTTTTCTCTCTCTCTAACCATTGCAGTTAACTGTTTCTCTCTCTCTCTCTAACCATTGCAGTTTGCTTTTTCTCTCTCTCTAACCATTGCAGTTAACTGTTTCTCTCTCTCTCTCTCTAACCATTGCAGTTTGCTGTTTCTCTCTCTCTCTCTAACCATTGCAGTTAACTGTTTCTCTCTCTCTCTCTAACCATTGCAGTTTGCTGTTTCTCTCTCTCTCTCTAACCATTGCAGTTTGCTGTTTCTCTCTCTCTCTCTAACCATTGCAGTTTGCTGTTTCTCTCTCTCTCTCTCTCTCCATTGCAGTTTGCTGTTTCTCTCTCTCTCTCTCTCTCTCTCTAACCATTGCAGTTTGCTGTTTCTCACTCTCTCTCTCTAACCATTGCAGTTTGCTGTTTCTCTCTCTCTCTCTCTCTAATCATTAGTTTCCTCTCTCTCTCTCTCTAACCGTTATAGTTTCCTGTCTGTCTCTCTCTCTCTAGCTGTTATAGTTTCCTGTCTGTCTCTCTCCCTCTCTAACCATTATAGTTTCCTGTCTGTCTCTCTCTCTCTAACCATTATAGTTTCCTGTCTGTCTCTCTCTCTCTAACCATTATAGTTTCCTGTCTGTCTCTCTCTCTCTAACCATTATAGTTTCCTGTCTCTCTCTCTCTAACCATTATAGTTTCCTGTCTGTCTCTCTCTAACCATTATAGTTTCCTGTCTGTCTCTCTCACTCTCTAACCATTATAGTTTCCTGTCTGTCTCTCTCTCTCTCTAACCATTATAGTTTCCTGTCTGTCTCTCTCTCTAACCATTATAGTTTCCTGTCTGTCTCTCTCTCTCTCTAACCATTATAGTTTCCTGTCTGTCTCTCTCTCTCTAACCATTATAGTTTCCTGTCTGTCTCTCTCTCTCTCTCTAACCATTATAGTTTCCTGTCTCTCTCTCTCTCTCTAACCATTATAGTTTCCTGTCTGTCTCTCTCTCTAACCATTATAGTTTCCTGTCTGTCTCTCTCTCTAACCATTATAGTTTCCTGTCTGTCTCTCTCTCTCTCTCTCTCTCTAACCATTACTACTTTCTCTCACACTTTCCTTTCTCACCGTTATAGTTTCCTCTCTCTCTCTCTAACCATTATAGTTTCCTTTCTATCTCTGTCTCTGTCTCTCTCTCTCTCACACACACAAACACACACACACACACACACACACACACCATTATAGTTTCCTTTCTATCTCTTTCATAGTTTCATCTTTCCTTTCTTCAATGTTCTTAACTTCAAAATTCTACAGCCAACATCTTTACCAGATGAGGCATGATCTCTACCCATTAAACTGTGTGTAAATAAGAAAAATCCATTACTTTATTGCTGATATCATCAAGCTGGGACCTTCCGCCCACCATGCGACTTCCTTTTTCTTACCCCTACTCATTGCCCTTCAAGCTTTCTTGTTCACCAATCCCACGCTTGTGTCAGCATTAGTATCATTAAATTCTTTGCCTTTAAACTCCATCACTGGAAAACTAACACTCCTCATTTCTCTTATTTAGGCTCCTGTGTAAGTTGTCCTCTTTGACTCTCTCGGACAGTCATGAGAATAGGTTTGTCGTTGTCTTTAAGAAGGAATGAGTTTTACCAACTTTTATGATTATAAAAGCAACAACAGGTCAATTGGGGATGAAGATGGAGATAGAAATGGTGATGTGTTCATCTAACCCATATCACAACCATGGTAACAATGTGAAGTAACTATTGCTTTTCTTTCTTTCTTTATCATGTGATTTAGTTTTTCTGTTGTTAGAGAAAGGAGGAAGTAGTGATTTCTAAATTTTGTTTTTATTTCTGTTGCTTGTTTGGCCAATATGGTTCTTTTATTCAAATGACTGCATTTTATTTTGCTACTTTGCAAAGTCTTCAGAATTGTTTTCATTCAGCTTTTCTTTATTTTAATTTCACCATGTTTTTCATTTTCTTTGTTTTTGAATTTTTCATTTTCTTTGTTATTTACTTTCATTTTATTTTCTTTTTCTTTTTCTTTCTTTTTCTTCCTGTTTCTACTTTACCTTTTTTTGTCTTTGTTTTTTCCTCCTCTTCGCCTTTGTTTTCTCCTCCTCTTCGCCTTTGTTTTCTCTTCGTCTTTGTTTTCTCCTCCTCTTCGTCTGCAGTATGTGTTTTTTGCATCCTTCTTCCTCTCCCTTTTTTCTTCCTCTCCCTTTCATGATTTTTTTCTTCCACTTCCTTTTTTTTAGTATATTTCTTTTTTTTTTCACTTCCTTTTTTGTATTTTTTCTCCTCTTCCTTCATGTTTTTTTCTCTTCTTCCTTCATGTTTTTTTCTCTTCTTCCTTCATGTTTTTTTCTCTTCTTCCTTCATGTTTTTTTCTCTTCTTCCTTCATGTTTTTTCTCTTCTTCTTTTATCCCTCTTTGTTCTCTTAACATTTTCTCTTCACATATTTAAATAGACTAAACATAGCATCTAATTCATAATATTTTGCGCATGTTTTCATTTCTTGTGTCAACTGGAAAATTTTCTTAGATATTGAAAATAAGCCGTCATTACTCTTTATATCATTACAGTATGAGATATATCAATGGGAACATATAAGTTGTTCTTGTAAATTTGTTTATTAAAACAAATCCAGTTTCATATACTTAGAAATAGAAAGTACCTCTTTAGTCCAGATGACTCCCATGTCATGTCTTCTTTTGAATCTACAAAAAATTAAATTATTTTGTGGTTCTGTTATAGAATTTTTCAATTAACTTTTAAGCTTCAGTTTAATTGTAATTTAGTATTTTACAAACCAACTTAAATATGTTAAAAAAAAAATTTTAAATTGAATTTAAAAACTCTAAATTCAACAAAAATTGCTTGAACTGCATCTACATTTAACAACTTGGAATTTTCTTTTTCGTTTTTTTTTTCTGCATTCAACTAAATCAGTTTTAAGTATCAGAACTTATACTTTTTTATCAGTTTTATTATAATTTATGTAAATTATGTTAATATAGAAAGTTTTCCTCATGGCACAGTGGATAAAGGTGTTGGTTAGATTCAGTGACAGGACCCAAAGAGTGAGTTCAATACCCGGTTAAGGAAGTGGAGAACTTTCAGAGGGAAATTAGCAGGAGATAACTGATAATTGACATCCATCAAACATGGCATGTGGAACTAGAACAGTCTACCCCAGTGAGCGAAATAAAGGGTTCAGTTCGAAATTCCAATCATCTGAAGAAGGCCGGAGTGTACAACAGCCAAAACGTTGTGATAAATATGGCGACAAAGATGAGGACAATAGTCCAAATAATGTAAATAATGTACATAATACCTAATCTCAGAAATATAGACAGACTGCCAATTTTAAGGTTAAGGTTATCTGCTTAAGATTCATTGTTTGATTCATTTTCTGCAGCTTATCAAACTTTTGCAGGTTATTTAAAGCTAGAATATATTTTTAGATTTGCAAGTTTTTTTTTCTTTTCTTTCTTTCTCAAGAATAGTGATAAAAGTCTGGTGGGAGAACAGGTGGATTGATATCTTTCCCAAGGGTATTGCTTAATCAATAATAAACAATCAACACAAAAATAAAAAATACTAAGATTTTCATTTCTCCTCCATATTTCATTTCCTGATGAAGCTTAAAAAAAAAGTAAAATGTGTTAAATTTATAAATGTTTATTTTTCTTAACCTTTCACACACACACACATACATACATACATATATATATATATATATATATATATATATATATATATATATATATATATATTATAAATTGATTTAAAATGTTTTTTCGCTACAGTTCTAACCATGTTTCAAAATGGAAAAAATATCTTGTTGTTCTTTCTTTTTATTATATATATATATATATATATATATATATATATATATATAATATTTTTTCACACACACACACACATATATATATTTTTTGTTTTTTCTACTGACTCTCCTATCATTTTCAGTGTATGAGAATCAAGCAGTTCAGTTATTAGAATCATCCTGCATATATCATTTGATTGTAGTGGTGAATGCTTGTGCAGAACCAACCGCACTTTTTGGAAGAGTTGAGCTTGAGAGAGAGAACTGGTACACATTATGTCACAAGGTCCGTAAATAACCCTCTGCAGGTTTTCAATTCAAAATAGTCCTTCTAGACTGTTTGGTACTCAAGGCTATGGGACCCAGTCTGTCCTGCTATTTACCCATAGTTTATTCCTTTCCCAAGGGTATTAGCACATAAGTAAATGTAATGAACTCTACTGGAATTTGAACTTGGCTCTACAATTCTTCAATCCGAGCCATTATCTATTACTCCACCATGCTTCTCTATATGTTGTTTTCATTTACTTTCACTGTATTTACCTCTTTGCATGATACATGTGATACAAAGTCAGTCAAAAATTATACAGTCTTCTATTGCCAATGCTGTAAAAACATCAGAACACCCCACAACTTTCTCCTTTAGGTCAGTGGGGTATGTGCTGCTCTAAAGTTGTTATATCCATAGACTAGCTGTATCTGCTTCAGGTTTGTGTTGCCTTTCACTAAATCAAAATTGATGCCGAACCCATCCCAGAATAGTCATCCCTTGTTGAGGGATAAATACTTATGTGTGTTGGTTCAGCCATAGGTAGATTTCCATATGTAATGTAAATATGTAACTTCATTCTTATATATATATATATTTATTTATATATATATATATATATATATATATATATATATATATATTATAAAATAGTCATTCAAAGAATAAATCAATAAAATTAATGTAATTTATGGTGAACTCACTTCGCTAACTTGGTCCATATTGCTTACAAGTACTTTCGGTAAAAACATTTACCATCCTCAGGCATAGATTTTTTTTTTTCTCAATTTCAGGTGATTCTGGGTAAAATTCCAAGATGAAAATGAATGTGATACTTGTTGAATTGTTATATTAATTGTTATATTAAAAAATGTGTGCTATTATTAACAATTAAAAATTTTTTTTGAATGTGACACTAGATTTTTGAATATTGAAGTAGTGTAGTAATTAACAATTTCTATTATTGTAAGTGTTTTTTCCATTGACATGAAATGGTCTATTGGTTCAATAATTAGAACAATATCTTAGAAGATTTCAGAAATTTGTTTTTACTGCAGATAGAACCTTTTTTAAATTATTGAATAATGCAGCTTAATTAATATTGTAAAATAGCCATTCAAAGAATAAATCAATAAAGTTAATGTAATTAATGGCAAACTCACTTTGCTAACAGATTAAAAAGGCATTTACTCACTGACCACTCACTGAATAACATGATCCTTGTTTTTATTAATTGTATAATGGATTATATGTTCAGTTCGTATTACTTGCAAGTACTTTTGGTAAATTTAATACACAATAAAATCCAAAATCACCTCTTATGGGGAATAAGCTTATTGCTCTGTATTAATAAATACATTGAGCTCTTTTTTGTGGAGCAGTTTTATATTACCAAGATCCACATACAACAGATTAATTACATACATATATATATATATATATATATATATATATATATATATATATATATATATATATATATATATATATATAATTAATCTGTTGTATGTAATCCAAGTGGATCTTGGTAATATAAAATATTGAACTCCCTACTCAGTTTATTTATATATATATTGTTATAATAAAAAAACAAAGCATTGAAGCAGGTGGCTTGCAGTTCGAACAGTATTGGTAATTAATTAATTAATTTACTGTTGTTTACCATAGTATTTTATTGTTATTAACCAGAACCATTTTAATAATAAATTTCTGGACTATTGATTAATTGCTTTGTCATAATTGTTATTGTAAGTAGCTTCATAGTGACTTTATTGCCACCCAATATATATATATATATATATATATATATATATATATATATATATATAAAAACACAAAAAAGACATTCTAGGTTTAAATAGGAATTTAGGCATACTCAGTGAATACAGTTCCAACAAAAAGCCATCTACAAACCCTCTGTATTCCTAATCATAGCAAACAACTAGCCCAAAACTATTAGATTTCAACAATAATATAACACATGCAAAAAAAAAAAAATTCTTCCTTTAATTTTCCTACAGAAACCAAATAGTGTCTTTTCCTGTCTTTCATTGTAATCAAAACAGAATAGTTCATTATTTATTCGGTATTGGCCAGGCATAATGGTTGTGTGAACTAAGGAATGGAGGGACGAGCACAATTATAATAGGATAATCTGGAACATGTTTTCCTGAGTGAAGTAGACTTCCAACTATATCACAGTAAAACACTGGTTCTCTTATGCTGACTGAAGTTAAGCATTGTTAAGCTTGGTTCGTATCTAGATGGGTGACCACTTGGGAATACCAGGTTGTGTAAGCTTGGGTGTGCAGATGGTGTATTGGATAACAGCTTAGAATTGGAAATCAGAGATCCAAGTACCTATTCCAGTAGGTTCATTATATTCACTTTCATTCAAATACCCTTTGGAAATATATGAATCCATCTCTTCTCCTCCCAGCTATGGGTTAATTATTAGGACATCAGTCGATCATTATATCAAAAAAATTCTTACACTCAAAAAATATTTTCCGGCTTTAAATAACCTGCAAAAGGCTGATAAGCCGTAAAAAACAAACTCACCATTCAAACTATCCTAACTATTTAGCTTCGTATAAATAAAGCACGTGAAATTAAAAAAAAAATAAACAGTGCTTTTTCCTATCATAATTTGTTATATATTATTGAAATAATATGAAATGAATGTGTATCAAAAATGAATGAAATGTGTAAAAAAGAAATGAATGTGTAACAAAATTTTAAAATTTTTGCTGTCTTTAAAACAGATTTTAAATTTATATATTAACACATATTTTCTAAGGTAATGAATTTTTATCACTCCGAAAGATTTTTTATCACTTTAAATGTTCTTCCTAGTGAATAGTTATATTTGAGTAGATGCTCTATTTATTTATTTATTTAGGAGGTACGATGGGTAATGGATAGTGGCTCCAATTGAGAAATCTGAGAACCAAGTTCAAATTCCAGTCAGATCCATTACATTCACTTACATGCTAATTCCCTTGGGAAAGGTATGAATTCTCTTCTTCTCCCCCCAGCTATAGGTAAATAGCAGGACAGACTGGGTTTTATAGCCTTGAGTGGCAACCGGTTTAGTAGAATGAAACTGATTTCAAAACCAGCCTGGAGAGGACTGGGCTCTGTCAGGCTAGCTTGCCCAAGAAAGACCACTTCTACTGCAGTAGATGTGATGCTCCTATAACCTTGATGGGTCATAGGATTTGTGATTTTTTTTTTATTTATTAAACAGTATATTTATTTTTGTCTACTGGCCTGAATATTCAAAAAAATCTTATTAAAGAAAAATATACTATCGCCAGCAGGATTTGAACCTAAATAAATTT